CGGTTTCTCTGTGGCTTTGGAGGCTGTCCTGGAACTAGCTCTTGTAGACCAGGCTGGTCTCGAACTCACAGAGATCCGCCTGCCTCTGCCTCCCGAGTGTGCCACCAACGCCCGGCCATCTTCTTTTTCTTACTGAGACTGGGTACCACATAGCCCAGGCTGGCCCTCAACCCAGTGCATAGCTATATAGTGATGACCCTAACCACTGGACCCTCTGGCCTCTACCTCCATGTTCTGGGATTACATGCATGTCCCACCTCTCCCATCTCAAGAGACTGTTTTTACTAATGCAGGATAGGAAAAGATTTTTCAAATAAGAGTTTTTTTAAAATGCAAATTATCTTCTGCCTATGAAGCATATGCAAGGTTCAGTGGGCAGGAAGGTACCAGCTGCTCTGTGGGGAGTTTGCCAACAACAAGCCCAGTTCAAGAGATGGCCTTGACCCTCTGTATACAACTTAGGAATGCTAGTATGGGGTAAAGAGTTTAGCTAGACCTTATGTTTTCATCAGAGATAGAAATAAGTATGTAAAATGACATGAAAATGAACTGATAACTAAGTAATTTAACTTCTGACCTTCTAAGAGCATGCAAGCTTTGCAAGCCTCGCTAACAATATGAGGTCTTGTCAAGGTGATGCTCTTTGTGGCAGCAATCCGCTACACACTAGTCCTTTAACACCCTAAGGTTGTATCTATAAGAACACAGATTTAATACCAAAAGTACTGTCAGCATTTGATGTGATAGTCTAAGGTTACAGTGACTTACTGCCTTAATTTCTCAAAACCTGTTTGTTCTCTGCCACGTGATTCTGGTGTTACACTTCTCAGATCAACAGGACACAATTGTGTGGCACATCCCTGAGATCTCAGCACGACACAAGGGGATCTCAAATTCTAGATAAGCCTTGGTGCTGCATGATCTCATGAAAGAAAGAAGGGAAGGAAGGAAGAAAGAAAAAAGGAGAGAGAAGATCTTGTGCAAATGAAATATAATAATAACAAATGAAATGAAGTGTCTTGTGAATGGACTCAGAGAATATCAGGACCTGCCATGGCCCAGACTCTGACCCATCTCAGGAGACAGAGAGACTGAGTCTGTGTGCACCCAGGCCAGTCTAGACCACAATTTCAAAACAAACAAACAAAACCCCAGGACAAAAAAAAAATCTTAACAAATGATTAATATAGAGCTGGATAAATCATGTAAGCCAGGCTAGAAGGACAGCTCAGAAGTCAAAAGGACCTAAGCTTGGCACCCAGCATCCACATGGTGGTTCACAAGCATCTGTAACTCCAGTTCCAGAGGTTCAATGTCCTTCTAACCTCTGGGGCACCAGGCACATTCATGATCTACATACATGCAGGCAAAACACTCATACACGTAAAATAAAATCTTCTAAAAAGATGCAAGTTGTCAATTAGTTCTTTAGTTTATACTTTTCTCAAATATATCCTTTAATTGGTGACTGGGAAATATGTTAAGTAATGTCAGTAAATTAACAGACAACAAACTAGACTCTATATAGAGTGTCTCTCCTTCTTTTCCATTTTATTTTGGTTTTTGGTGTTTTGTCCCATCCTTCCCTGCATAGGAGCTCCTGTAGCTCAGGGTGGCTACATTCAGATTCACCATGTACCTTAGGATGATCTTGAATTCCTAATCCTCTTGCCCCCACCTCCCATTACAGCATGCCCACTGGGCCCCTAAGTAGCAGTTTACAAGAAGAAACACAAATAGCCAGGGAAATATACTGTTGAAGACGTGACTGTGAATCACTTACTTACTGTAGGTAGGAGTTAGAAGTTTTGGAAAACAATTGGACATTACATAGTAAATTTTAAGATACAGATGCCTTCAAACCCAGGTGATTCTGTTCCAAAGAAACATACCGTATTCTAAGTCTTACATGAGTGCATGCATGCACCAGATTAGCAGGCCTGGTGGCTAAATCTCATTTGGTTAGATGTCATAGTGGGTAAAATTCTTGCTTAATAAGCCTGATAACTGGAGTTTGATCCCCCAGGGCCCATGGTGGAAGGAGAGAATCCAGAAAGTTTTCCCTGGCTTTTACTTGCACAAGATAGCACCAGCCCACCTGCACATACAAACATGCTGAATACACACAATAATACATTTTATAAAATACTGGTTTCATTACAGACTGCAGTATGGAATTTGAGTATGTTGTGATATCTCCTTAAATATCAAGGATAAGCCAACCTTTTAAGAAAATATGCTTAGGACACACCTTAGCAGATAGTCACCAACATTTTTACCACTAAAACTTGCTGGTCCTCTCTCAATGGTCCATATCACAAAGAATTCTATTGCCTATCAGTCCCAACTATATTAAAAACCCAATGGGGCTGGAGAGATGGCTCAAAGTTTTCCTATATTATAGAAACTTGGCTTTCTAAGACAATTCTATTAAGAAAGTGGGACAGCCATGTGTGGGACCCAGGCCTGTGATCCTAGCAGGGAAGCTCAAGGCAAGACAAGTTCAGGGTCATCCTCAGCTACTTAGTAAGTTCAAGGCCAACATGGACTATATGAGATCTTGTCTCAAAAAAAAGGGGACCAAGCTAGGCTAGCTTGGGATACATAGTAAGATACTGTCTAAAAATTAAAGGGAAAGAAAGAGAAGGGGAAGGAGGAACAGGAAGAAAGAAAAGAGAGAGATGGGGAAGGAAGGAAGGAAGGAAGGAAGGAAGGAAGGAAGGAAGGAAGGAAGGAAGGAAAGAATTGCTTGAGATACCTAATTCCCCCCACAGTTTTCCAGGATATCTTTTCAATAGTAGCTTTAGGTTTTTCTTTATATTTATTTTCCTCCACACTGTGGTGGGTGTCATCTCACCTGACCCACATATGGATAAGCATCTTCAGAGTCAATGCCCCCATTCGTCTGCACATACCGGAAGGCAGTGGTCATATAGCCGCCTCCACAGCCGTAATTCTCAGACACACAATCCACAAGATTCTGAGGACTGAGATTTAAGAGTTTGCCTGTCTTCTTCTTGAGTTGGCCCTCCAGGGCACCTGCAGAGCTAAAAGCCCAACAGGAACCACACTCACCCTGAGAGACATACAGAAAAACTGTCAGTCATGGATTTTCACATGGGTGCATCTTTCTACCAGCCTAAAAATGTTCACACATTTTGTGAATTCAACACAAATGCTGGTTTTGTTGTGAACCTTATTGTCGTTCCCCATGATAACAACTGTAATAACTGTTTCCTTTAACTGGAGTCAAGTACAGTACTTTGTGGCTTTGGAGACAGTTCTCCTGAAGTCTAACCCTGGTTTTGCACACTAGTTTTGTGACCTTGATTTGTTACTGAACTTCTCTGTGTCCCAGTTTCCTTACCTTTAAAAATGAGAATAAGTTGGGCTTAGTTGGACATACCTGTAATTCCATCACTTGAGAGGCAGAGGCAAGAAGATCAGGAGTTCAAGGTGAATCTCAGCCATATACTGAGATGCAGGCCAGCCTGAGCAATGTGAGAACAGAAAAGGGAGTGTATTATAGTTAATGTATTGACTCCTGTGAGCAGTGAGAGACTTCACTGACATGTAAATCACAGAAACTCCTTGTGCACAGAGATCTCTCAGGAATCGTCAGCTATTATTAGTGTCTACTCTCCTCGACTGCACAATTGTCTTTTTCCCAGATTTTCTGTTTTTTAAGAATAAGAAGTTCTTGAGGAGGAAGTCTTGACTCTTTACCAGGTAGCTAGCACCCTACTTGCTTGGTTCTAGGAGAAGGGTGGTATTTGTAGAATGAATGTTATATCAATAATTCATCTTACTGACGACACAGCCCTGTGCTGTTAAGATCCTAGGAAAACTGAGATTCTCTTGCAGATAAGAATCTAATATTGTAAAAACCTTTGGGGGGAGAATTCTCTATGTCCTAGTAACTACAATTTTAGAATTTACTTTGCACAAATATTTCTACATGAGCACAAAAATATATGCATCAGATGCTTGTTGTAATACTGTAAGTTTTTAAAAGCAGAAAAAAACCCTATATATACAAAATAGGTAATGATTAAATAATAGAATATGATGTATTCTTGTAGCATAAGATATACCTCAGTTCAGGCCAGACTACCTACACACACACAAGCAAGCACACCTGATTTTTGACTGGAGTAACATATCCTTTCTTTCGATAGTCGATGGCATCTGGGGCTCTGCCTTCCCACTCTGGGATGTAGAGAGTGTCATTACTGTGGGAGTGAGAAGGTGGTAATTTGAGTCCTGTCATCTTCTGAACCACTTCTTCACTGGTCTGAGACAAAGCAGAAGGCCAAGCATTAGCAGGGACCATGGTAAAAACAGTGGGTGGGCCTGGATCCCAGAGGCAACTCACCATGTCTCCCAAGTGATTCATGGCCAGTTCATACGTATGGACACCAAGAGAGGCCTCAAGGTTATGGATAGAAATATGCTTCAGGTTTTTTTCCCAAATTAAACGCCGAGAGATTTCATCCACCTAAATATAACAGTCAATAAATTCATTGACTGTGTGTCGTTATATAGGTAGGTTTTAGGAGAAAAATGTACCATAACCAAAAAGAGTTTGCAATCTAGCTGGGGAACTTAAAGGTCCACACACAAAAACAAAAAACATATGCAAAGTTCTAGAGATACCATAGCATAATAGTATTATAATGAGACATACACACGGCACAGACACATCTTTGGTGCTGGGTACTGGACTCAGTGATGTTCCTGAGCCATCCCTCCAGCGGGCCTGCCGCACAAAAGTAAAGCCAGCTGGAGAGTTAGGCAATAGGGACTGCTTGCTTGGGGCAAAGCACTGTACTCTGATTGAAGGGAATCTAAAACTAAAGCAGAGGCCTCAAGCCCCAGCCCTCCTCCCTGCTTCCCTTGCAGGCCCCAGGCACCTTGCTGTTATACTGCTTCCTATGGGTCTTCTTCCATAGCTCCCACTGGGTATCCAGCATCTCCTCAGGGTACAGAGCGAAGCTCAACATGGGTAGCAGCAGAAACTTGAACACCCACATCCTGTGAGAGGAATAATTAGGGGAGACTTCCATCGACAGGAGGTTCAGTCTAAGCCAGCCTGTGGGTGTGGAAATGATGGCAGACACATTACCAGGAAGGCATTTGTACTGGCCTGCCTTTGGGGTTCTGACAGTATATGCCTCAGAGGCTGCCACTAAGAGCACCATCTGTGCCTGTTCACTATGTTCCCCTTTAAAAGGGCCCTGCTCACCTATCCCACCCGCCTGGCTGTTCCTCCCTCCCCTCCCCTCTTTTCCCCTCCTCTCTCGCCCACTGCTCCTGTCCATGGAGGCTGATTCCCCCTCACCCCCTTCCCTTTTTACAATCATTTTCCCTTAATAAAGAAACCATTCTGATTGAACTCTGTCACATGGTGTCATTCTCTCTGGAGCAGCTTTTTTAAAGTCACAACAAAGGTGCCTTTTAACTTTTTAGGAGCTATAAAAATGAGTTCTGTCTACCAGAAAATTACACATACATGCATTAATCCTAAGGGATTCATAAACCCAAAAGAACTACACACACACACACACACACACACACACACACACACACACACACACACAGGAACGTGATTTTAGAGATATGGTTTTGCTTTGTAAGTCTCTTAGAGATATGGTTTTGCTTTGTAAGTCTCTAAGTCTTGTCTAGCCTTGAGCTCACTATGTTGACCAAGATGGCTTTGAATTCAAAGGTCTGTCCCCTCTTCCACCCTGCACTAGGATTAAAGGCATGAGTTAGTATGCCTAGCTTAAGAATCCCTTCTTTTGAACTATAAGGCTGGCAATGTTGGCTGTATGTGGAAAACAGACAAAGAATTGCAGGCGATTTTCATGATAAAGCAATAATGGGCAGAAGTGGGGGTGGGGTGCTGGGACATCTGATTTCAATTATTCCAACTCAAAGATGTTCCATCAAAACTGCATACATGGCAGACAACCAGAGCCGGTGACTGGGAAAGGCTGGGCACTGCTCTTCTCCAATACCCCCAGTGAGGACAGAATAAGCACAGTGTGAACGTGGTTAGAGACAGTTCCATCTACAGTGTGCTTCCTGCTTTGTTCATGGCATCCTTCCTCCTTTGCCAGATCTTGCCAGGAAAGAACAGGGCTAATTTGCAGTTTTTATCTAAGATATGTTCACTGTGTCATTTGCCCTATCCATTTTCTCCTTTCCTCAATCCTCTCCCTCTTTAGGCAGGAAATGGTTCTAATCTTAACCAGATGCCATGGGTTTTTTTTCTTTTTTTTTCAGAGACGTGGCTGCTTCACAGGACAAAAGCCGCAGATGTGTAAGAAGAAAATGCAAGACAGAAGGACAATATTCTATAATGACCAAGTCCACAATTCACAACTTTTCAGGAATTTGCTCTGGCTTCATTAATTTCTTGCAGTGACTTAATTGCAAATTCTTAAGTTTAAAAACCACTTCCTGTCTCCAGCACATCATATGACTTGTGCAACACTGACTACACTTCTATGTACTCTTTGCAAAGCAATAAAATATCCAGCAGAGCATTTAATAGCAGAGTGTTACAGGCTTGGAGGTGGCCATTAACTATTCCTCTTCCTCAGGAGCAAGGGAGTCAGTTAACCCTTTAGTTAAGCAGAGCTGCAGAAAGAATCCACTTTGGAGGCAGGCTCACAGAATCCTCATCTCTCACCAACAATCACATCGTCATTCACATCCACAGTCATACATAGAATCCTAAAGATTTGCATTTAGCCTGAAAATGAACTAAATACAATTTTTTTATTCAGGCATCCCCAACCAACTATATCCCTTCTCTTCTTAAAATAAGGTAACTGGTAGGAATGAGATGCAGAAAGATCCAGAAGTTAAAAACGATACCTGTTGTTGAGAATCTGTTGTCTAGGCTCCTTTCAGACAGCAAGTGTGGCTACTGTGAGTGGGAGACTAAGGGTGGCTAGATTTATTCCATCAGGATTGCGGAAGTCAACTCCAGCGATGGCTGGAAAATTTGGATGAGGGAGGGAGGCAGGGATAGGATGAGAGGGGGGTTAGGGTGGAAGGATGGACACACGTTTGCACAAAGTTCCTGAGAGCTGCTAAGTGTTCAGTTTCATCTGACTCTTTGGGGGAAAAATATGACAGCAAATTATTCATATTGAGGCTTTGGTGAGGAAATGAAAAAGACACAGATCTAGTTGTCTCCACCCCTTCTCAGAATGTCTTATTGGAGAATTCCATCGTTTTCTACCCTTTTAGTCATGGCCTACCCCCACCCCAACCCCTGAACCATTTTCAACTCTGTCTCAGATCCTCTTCTGAGATGATAGGGGGCACAGAGCCACGTGCACATGGTGTGTGTGTGGGGGGGGGGGGGGGGTGGAGACACACCAAAGAGCAATATACGGCAATAGAAGGCTCCAATTTAAACATTTTAAAAAAATTTTGTGACTGCTGGCTAATGTTACTGTTTCTGGGCAGGGAGGAGCTGTTCCAACCCATTATGGCTGTGCAGAAAGTCAGGGTGAAATGGTTTAAAGTAAACAGAAAGCTGAAGGTGTGTAATGGTGCAGGCAGTCAGGAATCTAAAGCCAAATCACAGCTGGCTGTGGGCACACCTTTACCCCACTCCTGGCACAAGGCAGCAGGGGCAGGGGAGGTCAAGGTCAGACCAGTTCTACAGAGTGAGTCTGAAGTCAGCCAAGGCTATATAGTGAGATGCTGTCTCTGAATAAGGAAGAGCAGACTTACAAGTTCAAGCCTAGCCTAGGAAACTTGGTGAGCTCCCGTCTAAAATGGAAGTTAAAAGAGGACTGAGGAACATAACTCAGTGGTGGTGTGCTTGCCTAGCGTCATGCAGCCCAAGGCTCACGACCCAAATGCAGCATTAAGAAAAGAAAGCAAGCCACCCAATGTAACATCTATTATTTACAACCCTTGGATCAACCACGACGGGCTGACGGATATACATGTGACTCCACTAAACTCTCAGATGGTAGAATCTGATGAGCACTGCATCTCAATCATTAAAATCCCCAACTAGGTCCAGTCACAAGATCATCTCCAAACACTTCCCCAAAATCCATGCATGTGGCACATCATAAGACTCCAGCTCAGCCAACCATGACTCTGAATTCCATAAACAGATGTGAGGAACCCTGGAATAGAAAGGGCATTGCCGCAAATCCAGATTCAGTTTCTAGCTGGATTCCGAACACCCCAATTCCAGAGTCCAGGCTCGCCTTTGGATTTCAAGAGGTACCAATGACCCGTCACGCATGTAGAGGAAGCTCAGATCCACATTTGCACAGCTTAAAGTTGACAATCCCCTTACCTCCTTTCAATTGGGAGGAAATACAGGGGGTAAGACATTCACATGTCCCCAAGTGGTTGCAAATTCCAAGAGCTCTTCCCAGCATCTTGTAATAGGTTAGACAACCCCCACTCCCAGTGTGACCAGAGTGTGTCTACTGACTTTACTCACGATGTGTCAGGATCAGGAGGGTAAGTAAGCAAGAAACAGGGTGCTGAGTGATCAGGACCCTATGATCTCTAATTCCCGAAATCAAGACTCGACCATGCTTTATGCTGGTGTATCTGAGCCCAATTATGGATTCTTTCAGTTGTGCATGTATGTTATCTAGGGACTGGACAGGGATAAGGAAGCCGCAATCAACATCACACAACACGATAAACTTTATAAAAGAAAAAATACTTTGTTTTAAAATCTTTGCTACATGTCATTATTTTTGCCACTGTAAGGCTTAGCACATATGGCTGACAAGAAAAAACAATCAAAAATAAAACCCTGAAGGAAAAGCAGAAAAAACCCTCAGAGTAGCTTCTCCCTCCCTCCCCTTCTTCAAAAGCCCTGTAATAACTGTACATTATAGTTCTGATCACATTTAAAAACAAGTTGATTATTAAAAACAAATATTTCATTGGAAACTCAACTTTTTGGTTCAGTAAATTGTGATATAAATATATAATGTATACTGTATGTGTGCACTTAGAATAAAAAAATAGCCTCCCTTTCCACTCTATTGACTGGCACCAGACTGTAGACAAATGAAGGGAAACTTAGAATGTAACATTCCCTCAGCCTCTCCATGAGTCTCTCCATCCTGGCTCCTCATTCCCTATGAATACACTTAATAGATGTTTTCCATATTAGTTTAATCTTTCACTTAGATACTGACAGGAGCCAGAAAAAAAAAAAAAGGGGGGGGCTACATATATGTGAGATGCACCTGAGGACAGTAAAGGTTGAAAGCAGTAGCTCATATCTGCGTTTCTATGGCTATAATTATCAAGTGACCCTGTGGAAATTTGAGTCCAGGACCCAACTAACAAAGAGACTCACATTTATGTTCCAAAGCAAAACCCAAATCTGAGTTTGGAGAGGCAGCAAAGAACGATAGACTTCAGGAAGACCTAAATATTGTTTTGACAACAGGAAGGAGGGGACATGTATAGGAGGGCTTTCTATTTGGTTTATTCCCTCATCGGTGAGGACTTCCACTCAGATAGCTAATCCAAGAAGTTGAGTTTCCATGCAGAAATAACCTCTCCAGAACACACATGTGACTCTGACAGAAAAATGCAGCATTATCCTATGGGCAGGTCTGGGGTTTCTGACAGTGTTTATCTAGCCAGCCTATTCTGGTAATATCTGCAGCTCTTCCACATAAATTGAGAGCACCAAAGAGCACGAGTAATCCTGCTTGATCACTGACTGTGTTCTGTAGGAGACCAGCCCTATCAACATGGGCATGAGTTTAAGTGCAGCAAAGACTTAATTTAAATACTCTTTGGCTGCAATACTAAATACAAAAATACCTAGAAAAATTAATTTCTTAGGACTCTTTGAAGAGCAAGCAGAAAGACAAAGAAAATCTGGGACAAACTTTGCATAAACTCCCTAATGGGAGAAAGAACGAAACAGAGGGGCTCAAACACATGTACACACAAGGACAAGGACAAGGACAAGGACAAACACACACACACACACACACACACACTCACTCACACATGTTCATCCTCTTCCATGTTTCTTTCCAAGGATTGCTCATTTCTGAAAGCTCCACATACACCTATCATATTTCACAATCCTCAGTTATGAGGGTCTTTCTCCTCTCCTCTCCTCTATTCAGAATATCTACCCAGAACAAGCCACAGTCTCCAAGGCAATTAGTGGCTGTCAGGTCGTTTATTCTGCCCCTTGTCTCCAGTTCATCTATTCTGCCCCTTGTCTCCAGCACAAGTCATTTCTGTGACACTTCTGGTAAGAAGACATAAACAGGACTTCTAACCTCACCTGTCCTCAGATTTTCAGAAGACCTAAAAGTCTGGGAATTCAGTCCATTTCTTCTATAAATGTTACTTCAGAGTCAAGGGGTGAAGGGGGTACATATCGGGGGTGAGGGAAGGGAAGGGAGAGGAACTTTTATTCTGTTTACAAAAGATTTGCTTTTAAAAACAAACAGTGATTTTTTCCCCCACCCTTATCCTCACCCCAATAATTCTATTCTGAAAAGGGGGGGAACATAGTTAGATCAGGAAATTCTTCATTGTTGTAGCTGTTGCTCTGGTCTCCCAGCATGGACAGCATTTCCTGATGAAGAAAAAAGATTAGATTGGGTTACATACCCTTACTCTGATGGTGAGCTGCCGCCCCCCCCCCAGCACTCCCCCAAGCTACCATTCTTGACCTCATAGCCTTCTTCCTAGTCTCTTCTCCATCTTCCTCCTATAATTCCTTTATTTCCTTTTACCTAGGCCTTGACATTTCCTTTCTCCTTTAAATTTTATGTGCATTGGTGTTTTGCCTGAATGTGTGTCTGTGTGAGGGTGTTGGAACTCCTGGAGCTAGAGTTACAGACAGTGGTGAGTTACCATATAGGTGCTGGGAATTGAACCTGGGTCCTCTGGAAAAATCAGCCAGTGCTCTTTTACTGCTGAGCCATTTCTCCAGCCCTCTTTGACATTTTAAAAGAAAATATGCATGCCAACCTTTCATTTACCCCTACAGTCATATCTAAAATGTGTCTAATCACATTTGTTTCTGACCAAACCCTATCTGCCTTCTTTTTAGTCTGTTTTTGACTAATTTATTCTCTGTCTAAGATTATCAAATTCAATCTTGCAGTCCCCTCAGGTGAAAACAGATGTTTATAGCTGTAATCAGTATGTTCTATTTCAAGTACTTTTTAATTATCCTATTTAAATCCAAAGCTACTTTGAGATATGGATCCCTGTACATAATTAAAATAACTTTCTTCAGCATCTTTACATGGTGCTTCACATCAGTAACTTTGGTCTGGTTAATGGGTATGTTTATAATACTTTATAATTTAAATTAATAATGTCAATTACTGACATTATGTATCCTGTCTTCCCTTCTGTCTCATCTCATACTACCCCAACCAATACAACGTATGAGTCTTTCTCTTCCCTGACCCTCTCTCTATTCCTGAAGTCTTTATCTATTCACCTGAAAAACCTCAGGCTGGCTAGGCGGTTGTGCTGATGTCTGCTGAACATGTTGCTCGTTAGAACTGGACCGATGATGGGGCTGCTGGCCCTGCCACTGTGGCCAGACACCCACACCCTCTGCTGTCCGGGACTGGAATTGTCCTGCAGTCTGTCCTGCAGTTTCAGAAGCTAGAAATACAGTAAGAATAAACAGTTTGAATCTATTAGTTTCAATGGTGGGGAGAAACCAGCACACAGCTACATGTAAGTCAGTAATTTTACGTATATACCTTCTGCTCTTCTATCTGCTTCTATTTCAAAGCCCATTCTCAAATTAACTTTCATTCCCAAGATAGCATTTCTAAAGAATTCTTTGTTCATTTAAGTATGCATTCCACTACATGTATGTGGTTTTTGTAGTATGATTGTTGTAAATATTATAATAATTCATATGGCTTCTATTACAAATATTGAAATAGTTTTCCTATAGTAAGTTTGTATAAGGATTTTTAAAAGTTATTACTGTTTTGTGTATAGCACCTGTGAGCATGTGTGTTGTGGCTCATTGATGGTCAGAAGACAGCTTGGTGGAGTCAGCTCCTCCTACACATGGGTTCTGGGGACTAAACTCAAGTACTCAGGCTTGTGAGTTAAGCACTTTGCCCAATGGGCCATTTCAACATTCCATGTGCAAGGTTTTTCAATTTCAAACAGACTGCATTTTCTTATAATTATGCCAGCACATAAAGAATACAGGGAAACAATGCTAACTACCAAATCCTCTTTCTTTAGTAGTTGATTTTCCTGTTACTTTTCTTCTCATCTCAACTTACGAAAGTTGGATCCACGGTTGGTGAGAGTAGGGTAGGCAGAAGTACCCTGTGGTGCCGTGGGAGCACCCGGGAGAGACATAGCACTGAATGAGGAGGAAGTCTGAAAGTTGCTCACACCAAACTGGGAAGAACGAGTCTTGGCTGTAGCCTGTGTGGGCACCTGATGAAGAAAGAGGGATACAGAATAAGGGAAATATTGTGTACTTCATCTCTATGAGTCAATACTCATTAACCACTATATTCTTCTAAACCCAACTCATCACCTGTCTCTAACTGTATACTTCTGATGAACTCCCAATTCCTGCTAAAACCATTTTTTTAGGCAACTAAAAGTACAAAAAGCAAAGAATTACAGATTTAATAAAAATAATAACAATTAGTTAATTAAGCTCACTGGGTCATGAAACAAGGAAAAAAAATACATTAAAGTAGAATAAGGGCTGGTTGATAAGAGGAAGAAGTATCAATGAGTCTAGAGTAGAACAAGAGGTTATGGTAAAAATACATTATAGACATACATGAAAACAGTATAACAAACCCATTCTTATATACAATGAGCTCATACACAAACACAGCAACCAAAGACCAATGTGTCTTCCTCAGTTGTTCTCCACCTTATGTGAATGTTCACGTATATATCTGTGGTAAGTGGGTGCATGTACACGCATGTATAGAAGCCAGATGTTATGTTGGGTGTCTTCCTTTATTACTCTCTACCTAATATTTGTTTTGTTTTGGGGGGGCAGAGTTTCTCTGTGTAGACCAGGCTGGCCTGGAATTCACAGAGACCCACCTGCCTCTGGCCTCTCAAGTGCTTGGATTAAAGGTGTATGTACTACCACCACCTGGCTTCCACCTTATTTTATGAGACTGAATCTTTCACTGACCCTGCAGCTCACCCATCTGGCAAGCAAGCTCTAGGGAGCCATCTGTCTCCACTTTCCCAGTCCTGGGAATACAGGTGCTTTCCACCACACCTGATTTAATTTTCTTTCCTTTTTCACATTTACTTAGTGTGCATGAGTCTGCACACACACAAGTGAACACATGCATGCATGAGCATGGGTGTCAGAAGACAACATGCAGGAGTTGGTTCTCTTTTTCCCACCAAGTGGGTCTTGTCGATTAAACTTAGGTCATAAGGCTTGAGTGACAAGCACTTTATCATTAATTAGAGTCATCTCCCCAGTCCCAAAAGTAGAGTTCTATAAAAGAAAAACCACTGCATCATCTACGCAGTCTGTCTTCCCTCCATTTCCAGCTTCTTCTCCCTAAAGAGTGCCATCTTCCCTTTTAGTGGAACATATGTGTAATACAAAAGAGTTTGATGACAACTCTTAGGAAAGTTCATGCCCACACATAGATATGTCTTTCTGAGTGTTTCTCTTGAATTTCAGCTTAATTCTATATTTAAAGAGTCTTTTAATAAAAACTCTAGATCTGCTTCAAAAAGAAAAGAAAAAAATGGAAAAAAAAAACCCCAAAAAACCAAAACAAAACAAAAAACAAACTGCCTGGCATTGGTGGCGCATGCCTTTAATCCCAGCGCTTGGGAGATAGAGGCAGGTGAATCTCTGTGAGTTCCAGGCCAGCCTGGTCTACAGAGCGAGTGCCAGGATAGGCTCCAAAATTACACAGAGAAACCCTGTCTCGAAAAGAAAAACAAAAAACAAAAAAACAAAAAACAAAACAAAACAAAAAACAAAACAAAAAACCTAAACTAAAAAACTAGAAATGAAGCCTCATTATTAACCTCACCAGGAGAGACTCATGGCTGATACTTTGGACAACATCTTCATGCTTTTATTTTCCACTGTATTTTTTGTTCTTGTTCTGTTCCTTTTTTGAGACAGTTTATCTCACTAGGTGGCCCAGGCAGGTCTTGAATGCACCATCTTCCTGTCTCAGCCTCTTCTATGTTGGGATTAAAGCTGTGTACTGTCACACCCAGCTGAACTAAGAAACTAGTCACCACCTCAACATTTTTTATGGACTCATAAATTCTTTTTATTCCCTTTGGTTTTTCAAGACAGGGACTCTCTGTGTAGACCAGGCTGGCCTTGAACTCAAAGAGATCTGCCTGCCTCTGTCTACCACATGTTGGGATTAAAGGTGTGCATCACCACCCAGGTGGAATCATAATTTCTACAGACATTCATAAATACTACAATCTTTAAAGTAACTCCTAGGGAGACAATATATGCATGCTTGATTATACTGAAGCACTGAAAATGATGCTAGTGACTGTCTTCAGCATCAACGCTCATCCTGGCCATGGAGAAATGGATAACCTTCTGTGTGTTTTTATACAATTAAGGTATATATATGGAACAATTCTGGAGCATGGTTTGAGTTTTCATTTTTTTCCTTTTCTAAAGTATTATTTATACAAGAGAAATGCACAAGAGAAATAAGCCTAATTTTATATGCATAGATACTATACCAAGATTTTTCACTATTTTAACAAATAGTCAATGAATATAATTACTAATTTTCTACTTTGGTACTATATTACATAGTCCTAAACAAAGACAACTCTTTGAATTTACTCTAAAGAAATCAAAGCTGTTTGAACTGCTCTTAATGAGCAGTTCTGACTTAAGGTGACTATGTGAAAACCAGAGGCAACAATGAGATTTTTGGAAGTATCTCTGGTATTTTAATTATCTGGCTGCTCTCAACAAACATGAAAATTATAAGTAAGATCAAGAACAGGAATTGGAGAGGAGGTATCATCTAAGATGGCAATAATAAATTTACTTGTAGGGAAAAAAGACCCCAACAAACAAAAAACAACATACAGGTCAGACAGATAAGAGGCTTTACCTGTGCAGAGAAGCCTGGACGGGTACTAGGGGTCCAAGTTGGAGCTGCTCCCTGGGTAGAGTTGGAGTGACGAGAAATCTGGGCCAACATCTGCCCTGCAGAAGATGATGGCTGGACAATGGTTACAGGAGGGGTCAGACCACTATTCCTAGGAGGAACAAATAGAGAGGTAAAGGATTCAAAGGTGATTCTGTCAAGGAAGCTAAGAATCAAAGGACAACCAAATTCTATCCCTATATCCCTTCGATTTCCTTGGAGCTAAGGAAAACCTGATAAATTTGAAAAACATAAGAAAGACTGACAGTCACACACTGACCACACAGAGAGATGGAACCTACAACAAGGCAATAGAATAGGTGCAAAAAATAGGAGGAAAAAAAGCAGCTTCCTCATCTCACCCTAGGTCCAGTTAAGTCCTACTGCTTTGTCTGAAACGACCAGAGAAAGCAAGGGAAGAATGGCACGAGGATTCAGCAACTGAATCCTGCAGAGCCCTGTCAAGCAGCACACACATATGGGGCTCACCTGAAATTTTCTGCCGGCCGGGGGTTAGGAGGGAATGAGTTGCCCTGGGAGAATAGCTGTTGGGTAGCAGGGACAGTGCTGGAGGAGATGCCTTTACTCTGATCTGTGGACCAAAAGGAGTTGGGGGAGGGCCATCAAGGGGCTGTAGTATATAGTTAAATAAATTCCTATTTACTCATGAAGCACGTAATTTACGTGGAAGTATGCTGGAAGACTACCAATTGGGCAGAAGCAGTCCAATCAGTGATAATCAAAATCAGACTGGAAAAGGAGTCTGCGGAAGAAAGCTGTACCTGCACTGATGTTGGGATAGATTTCTGAAAACCTTGGATCTCTGTCCTGGGCAAAGAGACCATCTGACTTCTCAAGGGATTTGTTGTGTTCTGCTCCTGTAGTTGCCACAGGCTGGACAGAAACCTAGGGAATAAAATAATGGAAACCATCAGTAATGGTTGATGTAGCAATTCAATAATGTTCAATTTCACATAAAACACACATTCTCACTGGTTCTGGGAGTTTTTAAGATTAGTTTTTATCTTTTTAATTATGTGTGTGTATATATACACGAATACAGTGCTTACAGAGGTCAGAGGCATCAGACCTGCAACTAAAGTTACAGGTAGTTGTGACATCCACTGTTGGTACTAGGAACTAAACTTGGGTCTTCTGCAAAAGCAGTACTTCCTTAACTACTAACCAATCATGCCAGCTTCGAGATTCATTTTAAAGAAATGCTCACTGTCCTTTTACAGAAGAAGACACACACCCACCTGGGAATGGTTATAGCTGGTCAGCCCATCTCTTCCTGGAACCATATCTAATTCTGTTTGCTGCTGCTGCTGTTGCTGCCTATATGTCAAATAATCAGTGTGGAAAGCAATAAAAAGGATTTTTAACAAAGAATTTGGAGAAAGGGCCTTTAAAAACATAAACCGCATGCAGCAACAACAAAAAAAAATCACCACATTCTGGCTGGTGACTGCACAAAACTTATTATCTTCACAATTTCTCACCTGGATGCCAGCTGCCCTGAACTCATCTCTAGAGACAGATTAGTTGTCGGACCTAGCTGTGACCTCTGGATTGTGTTAGACAGTGTAGGCCGTGGTTCCTGACTAGAGTTCCTAGGAAAATAAAGTAGACAAGAACACACAGAGAGGAAACAAGAAATGACTCAATAAAATAAACTCCATATATTGACCTGTAAAGGGAGGCAATCACTAACAGATCTTTCTTTATAAAGTACAGTCCCATAGGTAACCCATGAAGTTGGTTTCAGAAAAAAAAAAAAAAAATTGCGCTACGGACAACATAGTACCAACTGAAACTATGTCCTAAGAAACAAGGGCTCATTCTGTTTTTTGTTTGTTTGTTTTTAAAGATTTATTTATTTATTATGTATATAGTGTTCTGTCTTCATGTACCCAGGCCAGAAGAGGGCACCAGATCTCATTACAGATGATTGTGAGCCACCATATGGTTGCTGGGAATCGAACTCAGGACCTCTGGAAGAACAAGCAGTGCTGTTAACCACTGAGCCATCTCTCCAGCCCCTCATTCTGTTTGTTGTTGTTTTGAAACAGGATTTCCACAGCCCAGGCTAGCTTAAACTCCGAAGTATGGCGACTTTTAATTTCTGATCACCTGTCTGTACCTCCAAGGACTGAGATTACAAACATGCACCACCACATTCAGTTCATGAGGTGCTAGGGACCAAACTCGGGGTCACCTGCATGCTAGACAGGCACTCTACCAACTGAGCTTTTGCCCTAAAATGAATGTATACATTAAAACAGTTTGGTCTTTTTAAAGACAGGGTATCTCTCTGTATCCCTGACTGTCCTGGAACTCTCTAAGTCAATGGTGATCAACCTTCTTAATGTTATAATTCTTCACTACAGTTCCTTACGTTGTGGTGACCATAAAATTATTATTGCTGCTACTTCATAATGGTAATTTTGCTACTCTTATAAATTGTATGGTAAATATCCGATATGTAACCCCTGTGAAAGGGTCATTTGACCCAGGGGTAATGACCCACAGATTGAGAATCAATGCTCTAGGTAGCTCAGGCTGGCCTCAAATTCACAGGGATCCACTTATGCACCATTATACCCTGATAACAATTTGCTATTTAAAAAGTAATCTCAAGTCAGGCATGGTGATGCTCATCTTTAATCCCAGCACTTGGAGGTCTGCAAAGGATTTCTGTGAGTTTGAGGTCACCTTGGTCTACATGGTGAGTTGCAAGACAACACAAAACATAGGAATATTTGTGCTTCATTCTGAATAGCCAGACAATATAAATAACCCAATGTCCATCACCTGATGAATACAATGGGTCTCCTTATTTAGTAAATCACCCCAACCAAGACACTATCTGCAACTGATACTCTCTTGCAAAAGAAAAATTAGTTTTCTCCAATGGAGTCTCACTAGGTGTATTAACCTCATTTTACTTCAAAGTAGGACCCTTGACTATGAGTAGCTGACCAACATAAGTGTACTCGTTCATAAGTGGTATTTTTGAAGACTTTTTGTCTCATATTGCTCTGTTTGGACATCTTTTTTTTTTTTTGCCTTATCTTTTGCTATATTATTTTGTTTTGGGTCCCCTCCCCCTCCCCTCTGTGTGTGTGTGTGTGTGTGTGTGTGTGTGTGTGTGTTGAGAGAATTGGGTAGGTGGAAAGGAGCTAGAAGGAGCTTGGAGAGGGAGAAAGTGTGATCAGAATATAGTATTAATGCACAGCACCAACAATAAAATGAGGTACTAATATATACTACCACATGGTTGTCCCAGGAAGCAGTGAGACCACTCACAAAGGAACCATTTTGTGATTTACACATCTCCAAAATAAGCAGATTTATAGAGATACTAAATTAGATGTTTAAGACTTCAGAGGAAAGGGGAGAATGCACAATTTTAGTGGGCTCAGGGTTTGAGTAGGGATAAAAATGTTCTGAAAATAGATGGTTCTTAGAGTTGCACAACTGCATACCAAACTAAAAACAGTGCCTGTGTAATGGGTGGGATATATGCCCTGTGCAACGTATTTCAATCAAACTTTTTAAAAAGCCGAGAGCTAGGGGACAGAGAGATGGCTCAGTGGTTAAGAGTACTTTCTGTTCTTGCAAAGGACCCAGGTTCAGTTCCCAGTACCCACGTGGCTTCTCACAACTGTCTCCAAGTCTAGTTCCAAGGGAATTTGGTCCCCTTCTGACCTCTGAGGACATCATACATATATGTAGGCAGAACACTCATAATAAAGCTGGATGGAAGCTTGGCATGGTAGTGCACACCTGTAATTCTAGAACTCATGAGGCAGAAGAATAATGACTACTGTGAGTTCAAGTCCAGTCTGGTCTACTTAATGAGTTTCAGATCATTCAGGACTACATAGAGAGGCCTTGTCTCAAACAAACAAACAAAAAGCAAAAGCATAAACAAAACAAACAAGACCAACAACAAAATCAAGCTCAGAAAAAGGAACAGAAATTAATAAGAGTGTGATGTTACTATGCTCTGCAGTAAGCCTTGATCCATGGATCAACTTTAATCCATCACCAGTTTTATATACATTAAAAACTATAGGACACAGACATGGCATTTCTGTGCCTGATTTAATACCACAACAGCAGAGCTGAGTAGTTGCAGTAAAGAGCATATGGTCTAGACCAGGCTGAAATATTTACTATCCTGTCCTTCATAGAAAAGTTTGCCCAACTTTGTTTTAGATGAAAATCCTCCTAGACTAGAGCAAAACACTGGCAGAGTCAAGTGGAGCATACCTTTAACCACAGCACTTAGGGAGGTAGATGGGTATCTGTGAGTTCAAGGCCATCCTGGTCTACAAAAAGAGTTTCAGACCAGCCAGGACTACATATCAAGACCCTGCCTCAAAAACAAACAAATACAAAACCCTTTAAAAAATCCTGAGGTAGAGAAACAGTTCAGTGGTACAGCTCTTTACCTACTTTCTGCAAATCCCTGAGTTTAACCAGAACAGTAAGCAATTAACTAATTAAGACAACATAAAATTGTTACTAAGTAAATCAAATTTAGAAAATTAAAATGAGAACCTTTCCGTTTCAAGAACTAATCTTTAAACTACTGTTTTAATTTTATTTGCAATCTCTTATAGAAATAAATTTACTGAGGACACTGCAGCAGCAGCAGGCATGGGCACTGCCCATAGCATGCACTGCTACTGCTTATTAAAACTGGCTCTACCGTGAGCCAGGGAGATGGCTTGGTAGGAAAAGGCACTTGTCCCCAGGCTGACAACCTGATTTCCATGCCTAGGGCCCACTTGGTAAAGAGAGAACCATTCCCTCAGGTTCTCCTCTGATGTTCATACATGTTCTGTTACATGCCAGCATGATAGACACAAATTAAATAGATGTCAACAGCAAACAAAACCCACCTTACTCTCTACCTTGACTATATCAAATCCTATAGAAATCTGTTAAATGAGGAATCTCAAACTGATGGTATTTCATAAGTCAAAGTTGAAGAGGAGATAGCCTGATAACACTAAGACTTGCCCTGTCCCACCCAGCACCCCATCCCAGGGGTGGCCACAGGAGAAACCCAACATGAGAAAAAGACAGAAGAGTACATACTTCACATTGGTGTTGGTACAGATAATATACTCAATTTCATCTGAATAAGGGTTTTGGAAAGTAAATGAGCTGGTTCTCATCCAAAGCCATTCTCGGTTCTTAGATCGGAATCGGAACATGACAGACAGCACCTGCCCTTTCAATTTCACCACCTGAAAGGGTTTTCAGACATCAGTGGACATAAAACAAAGAAAATTAAGTAATAATCTTCCCACTTTCAGAATCTCAGGACTCTTGTGTTATTGCCCTCTAAGCACCAGTCTTTTTCAATGGTCAAACAAGAGAGAGAGGAAATTAAGGGGACATTTATCTATCAAGTACCTTCCCAAGCTGCAGACTGTATGTATGACTGTATAGTCAAGATGGAACACAGAGACTGTCTCTGTGTTTCCCTTGAAGTTTGCTGCAGACATAGTTAATGAACTGGCTTTGCAAGTCTTTACAAGGAGTTCCAGTTTGGTGACACCAAATACATTTTATACATTACTTATCAATCCCAGCTCTTTTACTCAAAACTTGAGAATCTTAATTTCCACAAAACCCCTATGGGAAGCCTTAGTTTTATTAATGTTTTAGTTCCTGGAACAGAAGACTAATAATAGAGAATATTAGCAACTAACGCTTATTTTATTATGTGCCAACCACTGGGCTACAGGCACTACCTTATGGCACTATCTTGTTCAACCCTCCCATGGGGTTCTACCTTTAAGTGTCACTATACCCATAGGACGGAATTAACTTATAAAATATAAAGAGCAATTATCTAAAGCCACGTCCATTATTTTCACCAAGTACTTCCAGGAGCTCAGGCCTGAGAATTACAACTAGCTACAAGTGAGTTAACTTTCAGTTATCTATAAAGAATTCAGAGGAAAATTTCCTGCTGTGGTCTAAGATCAGGGAAACAGGTAATACTTTAAACGCTTTGAAGAAAATTTCTTGGATACATTTAGTTGAATAGAAGACATTAAGCAGCTAAAGCCCAGTAGACCTTGGACTCTATCTAGTTTCAAAGTATTATCATTTTCTATTTCTTAAACTACAACCTCAGTATAAAGAAAAGTATAGTATCCACCACAGTGCTTAAATGAACACTGATGAGTAAGTGTATAGAATAAGGAAATGATCAAAATATGTACTCAGGCCAAACCAGGAGAAAGGTTACCTGTTGAAAGCTGTCTCTTAGAAGTTGTTGATCTTCAGGGTGACAAAATTCTACAATATTCTTTCCTAAGAGCTCCTAGGGGAGAGAAAAGTAAAATACACACTTTTACATCTGTCAGCTACAGATGTAAACATTATTTCTTTTCTTTATCCTACTATAAACAGGTGTGTGGAGAAAAAAGGGAACAAACAAAAGAAGACAGAGCCACAGTCAGTGAGACAGTGCAATGAGTACTTTGCACAAAGCCTGATGCCCTGAAGCCACATCTCTGGAAGCCACATGGTGGAGAGAACTGACTCCTGCAAGTTATCCTCTTAACTCCAGTTGCATTCAAAGGTACATGCATGTACACTTGTATTTGTAGACTGTAACAGAACAATTAAAAATGAAGAGTTTTTCTCACAACGTCATCTTACTAGCTCTCTTACTATCAGTTTAGAGGGGATTTTTTTTTTTTTTTTTTTTTTTTAATCTAAGAGGGGCAATTTTTGCCAGGCATACTCTATAAATCTTAGCATCTCAGGAGGCTGGGACAGAAAGATTTCCAGTTTGAGGCTAGCCTAGGAAGAGAACCTATCTCATGAAGGGGGAAAAAAAAAAAAAAAAAAAAAAAAAAGACAGGGAAAGAAAGATAACATTCGTACCTTGTAAGCATGAGGACCTAAGTTTGGTTGTTAGAATATATGTTTTCAAGAAATCCAGGTGAGGCAGGAGAAATAGCTAATCCCTTAAGAACACTTCTTGCTCTTGAAAAAACCATATACTAGGCAGTTAAAAATGAAAAACCAAGTTGGAGGATTTATAATCCCTGATCCAAGACTTCCTATAAAGCAGTTGCTATCAAGACAGTGTTCTAACCACATGGAACCCAGTTCCAGGGGATCCAATGAATTCTTCTGGTCTCTGTGATACCAGATAAACAAATGGTGCACATACATATACTCAAGTACTCACACATATTCGTAATATAAATACAGCAGGGCATTCGAGTGTATGCCTTTACTCTGAGCACCTGGGAGGCAGAGGCAGGCAGACCTCTGATTTTGAGGCTAGCCTGGTCTACAAAGAGAGTTACAATACAACCAAGGCTACATAGTGAGACACTGTTTAAAAAATAAAAATAAAAAATAAAATAAAGTCAACTGTGGTATATTCTCACAATCCCAGAAGAAACAGAGACAGGTGGATTATGGGAGTTCAGGGGCCAGCAAGCCTAGACTGCTTTTCAGTTTCCAGGCCAAGATGAAAGATCTTGCCTCAAAATAAATAGACAAATGGAATCTGGTGAACCGCTAAGATCATGCCCTGGCCCTATTTATGTGCACACACAAAGATTTTCTTCTAGAAGCTTATTTCCAACTTTAGTACTTATACATTTAGGGCTGAGTTAATTTTTGTCTATGGTAGGATGGTTTTTAGGGAGTGGGGTGGTGATGCATATGGAATCTAATACCTACACTAACATTTGTCAGATCTTTTGCTGAAAATCCAATGACCATAAATGGAAAAAAAAAGCTCCCTTCTGGCCACTCATCAGAATAGATCAGTAAATTAACGCCTCCCTATATTAACACCTCACTTCGTCCACTAACACTTTACAGAAAGTGGTGGATCAGGAATGTAAGTAACTTAATTCTTCATTTTCAAGACTTCTTCACTGACCATTTCAAATACTTATAGCCAGGCTCATACAGATCACAGAGGTCATGTACATCAGGGGTAGTTAACTTGATCTATTGCATGAGAACATTATAATAACCAGCACTATACTTACATTTATTACAGGCTTTATTCCATTAGTAAATTATATAAATAACCTAAATAAGGGTTGTTACATTAGAATAATTAAAATAAGTAGTTTTGAATTATCTATATTAATGTCAGAAATACAAAGTAAGTATAAAGGCCGAGCAGTGGTGGTGTACAACTCTAAACCCAGTGCTTAGGAGGCAGAGGCAGGCAGATCTCTATCAGTTCAAGGCCAGCCTGGTCTACAAAACTACACAGAGAAAGCCTGTCTTGAAAAACTAAACCAAACCAAAACAAACAAAAAACCAAAACAAAACAAAAAACAAAAAAATAAAAAAACAAACAAACCCCTAAACAAAAACCAAAGTAAGCATATATTTATACCTACTATTTCCATGTGGTTTCACAAATTATATTTCTCTATATAGGGTGATAGCCTTGGTAGAAGTTGAAACTAGATTTTGCTATTAGCAAAATAAGAGCATCTCTTTTTTTCTGAACTGGACTGCTATATTTTGGTCATCCCTGGAATTAAATATCCATGTGCCCTCAACACTAGCAACAGAAAACAGAAGCCCAAGTATCAACACTGTAGTAACTCCACTCTCACCTGTGGCTGGTAGCCAACAGTAGCCACACAACGGTGATCTACAAAAGTAAATATGCCCTCAATGTTGTGTCGGGAGATGAACTCTGTTGGTTGACAAATGTTACTCATGTCTGTACAGTTGGGAGAACTGGTTACCTAAGAATGGAGAGATAAAAATGAGCCAAAATAATCCCATTACTTACAGAAACATTTTCTTCATGAGTATCTGCGTATATATGAGACTACCAAATTCAAATTTAGGAACTTAACTTGTGTTTCACCCAGAAATGAAAATGGCAATCCCAATGAGAGGCATAAATTCTAGCTCTACTCCTACACATGTTCTCTTTACTACAAGTTAGTAAAGTAAGAAAATAATGAATGCAACCCTAAACAACCTACTTTTTATTTGGTTAGTCTGTGTTCATTATTCAGAATGGTTCAAGTTACTGAGAAACTTAACTGTGTCCAGGAAAAGAATCAGAATCAAGGGGCTAAAGATGGCTCAGTGGTTAAGAGCACTGGCTGCTCTGCCAGAGGTTCTGGGTTCAAGTTCTAGCACCCACATGACAGGTCACATTAATACAAGTGAGTTAAGTCAATTTAAGTTAATGTGACCCATCTAGTACAAACAAGGCAGTTCACATTGATAGAAATGGGTTATAAGAGCTAGCTAAAAACAAGCCTAAGCTATTGGCTGAGCTTTTATAATTAATAATAAGTCTCTGTGTCATTTTTTGGGAGCTGGCTGATGGGACAGAAAAAGACTCATTACATAAGGTGCCCAACATGGGGGCACATATTTCCATACAGGACCTGAGAAAGCTTAAAAAGTAAAGTTCCAAACACACAGAAACACAGAGCCATATACAGTTTCCTAGTCTGTAGTCTCTCAGGCAAGCTGCAGTGTAGAGAGATGAGGTTGCAGGTTTGAGTCAGCCAGCTCCATGTGCAGAGCCACAAGGTGGGTTTAAAGTTTGGCTCACATGGTCAGAGAAGGCAGCAGGTACACAATAAAGTGGTCCACATTGAGAAAACCTTTAAACAGATACAGTAAAAACTAGGGCAACTGGGAGAGAGAGGCAGGTGGATCTCTGTGAGTTTGAGACCAACCTGGTCTACAAGAGCTAGTTCCAGGACAGGATCCAAAACTACACAAGGAAACCCTGCCTAGAAAAACACCCCCCCCCCAAAAAAAAAGAAAGGAAGAAAGGAAGGAAGGAAGAAAGCAAAAAAACTGGGTATGGACAGTCAGAAAAAACAAGTAGTTTAAAAATAAAAAAGTCTTTAAAGAAAGCGTAAAGTAATATAAAAAGAAAAAAGTCACGTAAAGATGGGAAATACACAGAGAATCTGGATCCTGTATGGTGCTTTGTTCACTTTTGTTAATGTTGATAAGTGAATGGCAACTGCTGAGAGACATTGGATTACGAAAGGGACTGCTTAATTAAACCAGGCTAAATATTGTAGAGATGTCTTGGCTTCAGAATGGAAGTTGGGAAATGTATTGCATTGGGAAAGAGGTTATGCCTTTGTTCCCACAGGAAACAAAAAGTTATGCTTCTCTTCGAAATTAATGAAGATCAGGTTTGATTGGGGAAGATCTCCTGAAAATCTTGGCTACATACATGATGAGAGAAACCAAGAAAGACTACAACACAGCTGATCCCTCTTCTGTGGAAATAGCTCTGAGACTAGATGAGACATAAATTTTGTTGACTACAGAGTCTTCATGACTTATTATTACATATGGCATTTCATATGGCCTGGATGGAGGTTTAGTTATACAGTCCAAATGGACTTACAAAGAAAAAAATCATTTTTAGTTGACTTGTGCACACCACATAGTCCATACCTGTGTTAATACAGATATATATGTTATCTTTAAAAGTTTATGTTTTCAGGCCGGGCGACAGTGGCACACCTTTAATCCCAGCACTCGGAAGGCAGAAGCAGGTGAATCTCTGTGAGTTTGAGACCAGTCTACAAGAGCTAGTTCCAGGACAGCCTCCAAAGCCACAGGGAAACCCTATTTCGAAATCCCCCCCCCCCCCCCCAAAAAAGTTTATGTTTTCAGAAAAAAAGGACCAGACACCAATGAAGACAAGATGTCCAGGTGATCCAGACTCTCAGAATACTTTTGCTCCAGTTTCCTCAAAATCCTGCATCCAGAACAACTTCAAAGCTGCTAGCTAAGATGGTTCAGCCTCACAGACTACCCAGCCAAGACCAGATAAGTTTTATACTTCCCCATCACAAAGAAACTAAACAAAAAATAATGCAACTAGCTCTCCCAGGACTTGACCATTATCCTAATTTTTTCAGGGTCCCCTAGGATGCTGTCACAACCAGAAAACAGGAAGCAGTCTAGGAAACACGATGCCCACATTCCCAAGAGGTAGGGTGGGTGGTCTTTGGTCATTTGGTGAGTTATGGATGTTTGTCATTGTATAGGGAAGTTGGTTACAAGGTGTTATTGGTCATGGTCAGAAAAAAAGCTCAACAAAGGAGATTAGATTTAGGAATCTCTTTCTGAAGTGAAAAAGGGGGGATATAGCATAGAAATGATGGGACAAAAGGTGTGGATTGTTGAGTTTACTTTTGAACAACCATTAGTCTCAAATATTTTTCATTGGTATGGATTTTTGTATATTGATACAAATTTAATGCTACTTTTGTTATAATGTATACATGTTTCTACTCTTGTTTAAGGTATGGTATCTATGCAGCTAATTTAAAAATGTAAAGTTTTAGTCCTTGAAAGCTATTTAAGATAATAAAGACAGGTTAGTAGTTGGTCATCTACAATAATCAAGCTTGCAGTCATATAAGGTATGTTTACAAGGTTAAACCGATATATATAGATAAATGGTCTTCAAATACTTCAAAGACCTACAGAATATAGCATGTAAGATGTTTTAATAACAACACTTTTTTCTCCCTAAGACGGGGTTTCTCTGTAGCTCTGGAGGCTGTCCTGGAACTACCTCTTGTATACCAGGCTGGCCTGGAATTCACAGAGATCCACCTGCTTCTGGCTCCTAAGTGCTGGGATTAAAGGTGTGCACCACCACCGCCTGGTAAGACTTTTCTTGACAATGAGACAAGCACCAATTTAGTTCAAAAGAAGATGATGGCCATCGAAGAAACTCCATATGGAGTTTGCTTTCCTTACAGCAAAGAGCTAACCATTTGGGCAAGAAACTGCCCTTGCCTCAATTGCTGACAGTGTACTGTCAAAACTGGACAAGCAAGACACAAAAAAGGGGACGGCCAAACTTTGCCAAGACAGGGTGGGCCAGTCCTTCAAAATTTCTTGCTTCTCAGAAATGTCTGTCAGATATTCTAGGCCTGTAGGCCTAAAGTGGATGTCCCAACATTACAGACGAGTATCTGTCCAGGCAGCCAGGTGTCCCTGTTGTTAGGTAACAGAGTTAAAGACTAAATAATTAGCCTTAAAAAGTTTTCCTTAATGATGATAAAAGGCAAATTAAGTATAAAACTTTATACTTACAAAGATAAGACAAACAATAGAGTATTTTCTTTAATCTTGCCAAATACAAATGGACTGTATATTCTAACTCTAATTCTTGATTAACTGGTTTTGATGTATATAATTTTACTATGTTAAAGTTAAAACCTTTCTTTTTAATTACATAAAAGGGGGGAATGCTGTGGAACAATGTTGGTACACTGTAAATATGTTAATAAAAACATATTTTTATTAACATTTATTAAATCAATTAATTTAATAAAAACATTGGTTAATAAAAAGCTGACTGGTCTATGGCTGGGCCGGAAGAGATTGGGAGAGAGACCCAGACTAGGAGAATGTGGGGAATAAGGGTGGAGTTAGAGGAGATGCCATGAGATTGCAGAGTAAGCAGGATGAGAAGTACCTAAATTGAAGTGAACGAGCCTCAGGGCAGCAAATAGATTAATAGAAATGGGTTAATTTAAGTTATAAGAGCTAGCTAGGCCGGGCATTGGCGGCACATGCCTTTAATCCCAGCACTCGGGAGGCAGAGGCAGGTAGATCTCTATGAGTTGGAGGCCAGCCTGATCTACAGAGCAAGTTCCAGGGTAGGCTCCAAAGCAATACAGAGAAACCCTGTCTCGAAAAAGCAAAATCAATAAATAAAGGAGCTAGCTAAAAACAAGCCTAAGCTATTGGCTGATCATTTATAATTAATATTGAGTCTCTATGCAGTTATTTGGGAACCAGCTGGTGGGACAGAAAAGTCCACCTACACAAGTCCCGGCATCCACATGGCAGGTCATAAATTTTTATAACTGCAGTTCCAGAGCATCCAATGTCCTCTTCTGGCCTCCTCAGGAACCAGGCATGCAAGTTGTGCACAGACACACACGCAAGCAAAACACCCATAAACATAAAATAAAAATTTAAAAATATATCATAAAGCATGTAATAACAAAAGAATAACAATTGTTTTTACTTTGCATAGGAACAAAATTAATTAACTGGAAATGGAAAAGTAAGAAGTGCAAAGCTAAAAATAACAGAGTTAAGGGGAGCCTGGCATGGGTTGTCTGCCTAAACTCCCAGCACTCAGAAAGCTGAAGTGAGAGACACCTTGAATCAATGAGCTGGAGACCTAAGAAACACAGGGAAGCAATACCAACAACAAAAAGATTACCATCCTCTTTCATGAGCTTGATTTTTACCAAGTCTGAGAATAGCAACGTTTACTACAAATAACACATTTTTTCAGGTTTTTAGATTTATGGAATTTTCCTATGTATTCACAGAGTAAAAGAAAATTAAGTCCTGGAAAGATTTTTTTTTTTCCTAATCTGAAAGGGACATAGATAAGAAGACTCATACTTGCCTGCAGCCTGCCAATGGCCACTAGGCAGAATTTGCTTCCCTGGCCAGCTTCTGGGTCATCATCCGGGAGCGACACACCTTCATGAAGGAAAAGATTCAGAGACATCTCAAACCCAAATCCCTTTAAAGGCAAGTGACTGCAAGCTCACCAATACATTTCTGTATGAAGATGCTAAGTATAAAACGATTTTTAAAAAGGTAATCAATTATACAGATTCTTTATTGTCAGTCATTGTTTTGTGTTTGTATTTTTTATTTTTATTTTTAAGACAGAGTATAACTGTCTTAAATGGAACTTTTGAATCTGTAACCTTGACTGTTCATTCTGCTTTCCAATGGTAGAATTACCGGCATGAACCAGCATACCTGGTTTCAATATTTTAATTGTAACAAATTGGGAAATACAAGTCCCAGCCAAAGTCATCTAAAAACATAAACTTTACAATGCTGTGTGTTTATACACAGAAGTAAACATTCCTGCCTTACCTGTGACTTTTAAAATTAACAAAAAATAAATTATCCAAAACACTAAAAGATATTCATATTCACAGAAGGGAAGAGTGCATCCCTTACAACTTCTTTATCTCTCATTTTTATTTAAGAAAAAACATTTTCTTGATAGCTATTTAGAAATAAGGATCATACATACATTAACTGTATGATTTATATATAAGTTGACTAAAAATTTTATGTATCATTATTCATAACAATAATTCAGATTAACTTCTCAATTATATTAATTCCCATTTATTAGCTACATGGTATGTGCCAGGAACGAGACTGTGTGCTTTTCTTACACTAAATCTAATTCTCTCAATAATGATATACAGGATATATTATCTCAAATTATAGATGAGAAAACTGATGTAAAGATCAAGTAACGTACCATAGGTTAAATTATTACTATAATGTCAGAAAGCAAATGTAGGATTTCCCAAATCAGTGTTAATTTCATCTTAAAACATATCAATGGGGGCTGAGAAATGGCTCAGTGGTTAAGCTGCTCTTTCAGAGAACCCAAGGTCAATTCCCAGCACCTACATGGCAGCTCACAACTGTATGTAACTCCAGTCCCAGGGGATCTTACACCCACTTCTGGCCTCTGTGGGTACCAGGCAAACAGGTGGTTCCCAGACAAAATACCCATACACATAAAATAAATAATAAAACTTGTCTCTCTTTTCTCTGGATTTCTGGCTTCTGTAAATCCCTATTTCCCAAAAATACTCTTCCAGTGGGAAAATAATAAGGTAAGATTTGGAAACTCTTACAGGCAATTTAAAAAGCTGATCTAGCTAGGCATAGAGAATCAAGTCTGTAATCCTGGCAGCTGTGAGGCTGAGTAGAAGGCTGCCTTGAGTTCAAGGTATTAAAACAAAGCAAAAATCTGATTCACACATCCTACCACCTTTGCTGCATCCCTTATTTAATCCCAAATCCAAATAAAACTACTCTACTTACATCTAGACTTTCAGGAGAAAAGCCCCCTTTCAAGTTATTGCAATCAAGCCATTTCCTTTACCCCTCAAAGCCTCACTCCCATTTCAGTTTTCCAAAATTAAATTGCATTAAATCCTAATGTTTCAGGCTGGACATAGTGGTGGCACACCTTTAATCCTAGCATTTAACAGGCAAAGGCAAATGGGTCTCTGTGAATCTTCAGCCAGCTTGGTCAATATAAAGAGTTCCAGGACAGCCAGGGCTACTTGGAGAGACCCTGTCTCAAATAAAATAAAATTCCAGTGTTTCTTTGCCACGACTGCTTAAAGACATAGTATTCAGTATAAAATATTATTATGAATTTGGATAGTTATTTTCTTATTCATTTTGTTGTTTTTTTTGGTCCTTACATGTACTAGGCAAGTACTCTACTACTGAGCTATATTCCTAGCCCTAATAACTGAATTATAAGCCACCCATGTTAATTCATGTCTGGCAATTCCAGGAGGAGGTTAAGGTGGGGAAACTGCTTGAATTCGGGAGTTCCATACTAGCAATAAATAATTATCTATTTTATATGCAATATTACATACTGTAAATATTTAGGGGTAATATTAGCAATATACTTTAAAAACTTTTGTGTGTGTGTGTGTGTGTGTGTGTGTGTGTGTGTGTGTGTTTGCCTGTGTGAGTTTAGGGCACCACATGTGTACAGAAACCTGCAGAGGCCAAAAGAGGGTGTCAGATCCCAAGGAACTGGAGCTGTAGGTGGTTCTACCAGAACATATGGCTGAGAACTGAACCTGGGTTTTCTGCAAGAGTAGCAAATGCTCTGAACTACTGAGCCCTCTTTCCAGCCCCCAATGATGATTACCCCCCCCCCACTAAAAAAAAAAAACAAAAAAACAAAAAGCCAGGAGGTGGTGGTGCATTCTCTTAATCCCAGCACTCCAAGCACAGAGGCAGGTGGATCTCTATGAGTTCAAGGCCAACCTGGTCTACAAAGCAAATTCTAGGACAGCCAGAGCTGATACACGGAGAAACCCTGTCTCAATCCCCCACTAAGCTGTTACACAGGGAAACCCTGTCTCACCCCCCCCCAAAAAAAAACCCCTTTGTATTGAAAATTTGTAAGTCATGAAGTACATCAGGAGAGAATCCCTACCTGCTGGAGGCCAGGCCTTGATGTAGCCTGTGCAGTGGACAACCACAAAGTGAGGCTCTCCTTCCTTCGCAGAGCCAAGTCCATTCCTACAAGAGTTACACTAATCAGGGGGAAATTCTACAAAGTAAACTTGTCTTTTAAGAGCATTCATTCATTCACTTATTTATCTAAATCATTTATTACTGCTACATGTGTGTATGATATGGGGGTTGCATGAACCCCCTCAACCTGTGGAGGTTGGAGGTCAGAGAAGAGAACAACTCTGTGGAATCCGTTTTCCCCATCCACAAAATTTGTGGGTTGTGAAGACTGAACTCAGTTCAAAGGAAGTGACTTTATCTACTAAGCCATTTTGATAGCCCCAAAGTATTTTGTTTTGTTTTTTCCTTTAGTTTTTTTTTTTTTTCCACATTTGCTTGTTTGCTTATGTATGTATGTGGTTGGGTGTGTGAAAGTCAGAGGACAACCCATGGGAGTCAGTTCTTATCTTCTACCATTTGAGCACCAGAGATTAAACTCAGTTGTCAGGTCTGGCATTGATCACCTTTGTCAGATGAGCAACCCCAGAAGCCCACACAAAGCAAATTTTAAAGGGAAACAAAGCCTAAGAATCTTCAACTTTAGCTTCTTAAATATTCAGAAAACTAATCACTGCTTGCCCCTTCCCATCCAAAAAATAGCCAAGCTTTTAGTCCACACACACACACACACACACACACAAAGAAAAATAGGTAAAGTAGTAGGCAGTTTTCTTAAACAGAATGAGCAAGAGAAGCTTTTCAAGTTCAGAAACCACAGGGCAATGGTGGCACACACCTTTAATCCCAACACTGGGGAGGCAAAGGAAAGTGGATCTCTGTGAGTTCAAGGCCAGCCTGGTCTACAAAGCGAGTTCCAGGACAGCCTGGGCTACACAGAGAAACCCTTTCTTCAAAACCAAAACTAAGTAAATAAATAAAGTTTGGAAACATTGCCAGAAAATAAGTGAGAGTGAGGTAAAAGAGAGTGAGAGGTGTTAGAGAAAGTAAAAAACTCCATCTCTTGATTTTCATGGCTTAGGATTTTACCTGCATCTATTCCGCAAAAAGCTCAGTCTATTCATGCAAACAGGGTCCACGGAGCTATTGCCACACCTGTTTTAACAAACAAAAAATAAAGGTTGTGGGGCTATAATAAATAATAGCAGTAGGATAAGAGGATCCGACTACACATGTTAAACTGGGAACAACAGGGCAATCAAGCTGAGTTTGTCAAACTTTCTATTGTTTTTGTTTTGTTTAATTTGAGGCAGCACCTTCAGGCCTAGGCTGGCCTGGAACTATCTATGTAGCTAGGGAGTACCTTGAACTGACCACCCTTCCTTCAGCCACCAGTACCTGAGTGATGGTATTACAGGCATGTACCAACATACCACTTTTATATAGTGTTAGGTATTAAACCTAGAACTCCATGAATTGTAAACAAGCACTCTCCCAAAAATGCCATATCCCCATTTAAACACACGCACGCACGCACGCACGCACGCACGCACGCACGCACGCACG